GGGTGAGGAGGTGGGGTGCAGCGCAGCAGCTGCTGGCTCAGGGAAGGTTTGCAGCTCTGGCTGTGCCTGTTCCCCTCTTCCTTGTTGCCACAGGCTGACAGCACAGCGGGGTGACATGTCACTTCTTCTTCCCTGTTTCCTGCTGGGGGGCTTTGCGTTGGATGTGCTCCATCGTGCACATGGGAGGCTGGCGAACAGGACATGTCCCTGCTGCTTGGTGTGTGTCTCTGGGGAGGCATTTAGGAGACTCATGGGGCTGGGGGTGTTCAAGAGACACATGGCTCTCCTGAAGAGCGGTTTTGGGGTGAGGCAGGTGTCCTGGGCAGCCCTTTCAGTGGGGCGCAGCATCGAGGCCAGAGCTGTTGGGTTGTTTCAAGGGACTCTGAAGGAGGTGAGTCGATGGGGCCAGAGATGAATGGGCAGTCTGCAGCTGTCAGCGAGACATGAGAGAGTGTTCAAGGCCCGTCGTTTCCCTGTCTCCACTTTATGCCTCCAGCCTAAGACAACGGCCTTGGTGCAGGGAGGGACGCAGGGAGCAGCAGGGAGCTGGGATAGCTCTGCTTAATGTGCCCCACACCTCCAGCAGCATCTCCCCTAACGTCCCGTGCAGCTCAACGGATTGTAAATCCCCAAAACTGGGGCTTACCACCAGGAGGAAAACGATGCCACACCATGTCCCTGTCCCTAGCCAGGACTTTGTCACCTTCTGTGTCACCCTCCCTGCACCACCACTGCTGCCCTGCCTTGGCAGAGAGGGGAGCAGGGCAACTTGCAAGTGATGGGTGATGTCTGAGATGTTGTCAGTGTCCCAACCATGAGCTGGATGCCCCCAGAGACCAACTGAAGGTGACAGCCAAGGCAACGGAGGGGTCCCCAGGTGCAGCAGGGTCCCAGCTCAGCAGTCCAACACCTCTCTCCTTCCACCTTCTGATCTCCTTCCATGCCTGTCAGCCCAGCACCAGCACTGGGGCTTTTTGTTCATTTTGGTTATAGCCATCTCATGGTCTTACGCAGCCACTGGTGCAAAGAGAGACTGACAAAGGGGCCCCTCACTGTGCAGTTTGCTGCTCAGGGGGAAAAGTCGCAGGGCTCCCCAAGAGTTGCAGCAGTGCTGGTTCCACAGGGGCTTATTCAAAGGTGCTACTGGCATTTCCCCCCGGGCTGATGGATGGGCTCCAGAAGGATTCCCGGGCTGGCCACCTTCCCTCTGTGGCGTCTGTTCTCCCAACAAATCCAGTTTGACTGGAAGGTTGTCATAGATGTTCAGGTGGAAAACGTGCAGAGGGAAGGGCCTGGCAAAGATGGGGGTAAGGGAGTTGTGGGGGTTTTTTCCCTTCCTCTGTTTGCCGCCAGGGCCATGCAGAGCAGGGCTGGGGGCTAGCCCGGAGGGGTCTATGCAGGGCAGAGCCGGAGGTGGAAGGGAGGGTCAGCACCGTGTGAGCGAAGCCCAGGATGGGGGAAGAAATGAGATTTCAGTTGTTGCACTCTTCTGGCACTAAGTGTCTCAGTTTCCCTCTTTCCTCTGGGGGGGGTGACAGCACTCCCCTCCCTCCCGAAAGCTGCCTTTCTCTTCAGCCCCACCTTGAGCTGGACACCGCTAAGGGCTTTTATGTCTCTGGGGGCATTGCTGAATGAACTCCCCAAAGTTGGGGGGTGATTTTCACCCTAGCCCTCCCAGAGACCTGCCTGATGCTGGTTCTTCGCTTCTCCTTCCTCCATCTTCAGCAGGAGCAGTGAAGGCGTGAACCACTTCTGGCCTGGTTCCCTGTGCCCAAACATCCCCCCTCTCCTCCTGGGCCCCACCTCTGCCTCAGGTAATTGCAGGAGGCAGAAAGACACTGTGTTTTCCAAGGAATGGTTTTCAGAGCCCTCAGGAGCGCTGGAGCGATGAGCAGCGCACCGGGCCATGTCGCACAGGGATGCTGCCCAGCAAGCCCTCCCCAGGCTCGAGGGGAGCATCAAGAAGAAACCAGAGATCCCCAAGCACCTGCTCCATGTCATACACAAATCCTTCCTGAGCTTAATTCCCCACGTGCCAAAAGAAACAGCGCTCCCAGCACCAGCACTGTGAATAAAAGAGGAAAGACTAGAAAGACCCAGTGCTGCCCTGGCTCCTTACCCCATGGGGCTCTGCTGCTCTCTCCCAGCAAAAGTTGGGATCCGTGGCCCGGGGTATGGAAGGGGGAAAGCCCAGGTATCGGTTGGAGCCCAGCCAGGGACATTCACTGCCTTTGGGATTGTTTTGAAGAGCTGCTTTGCTTTCTAAAAATGAAAGGCATGCTAGAGCAGCCAGCATGGGGTGGGGTGAGCATCGCTTCAAGGTTGGGATGGCGTCGGGTACCCGGACCCATCTCTAGGGTTTTCCTCAAGCCCGGGCTGCCCTTAGCAGCTGCAAGCACGGGGGAAATGAGGACAGGCGGGATGGGAGCATGCCCAGGCTCCCAGACACAGGGTTGAGGCTTTGCTTGGGACAAGTGGGGTGAGCTGTGGGCATCATTTCAGGTGCCAGCATCCTCCGGTTGCTGGCAGTGTGCCAGGGTAGGCACGGCAGCTGAGCATGCTGCTGCCACTCTCTGCAAACATCCCCACCTGCTTCACAGCCCCCTCTGCCCCTGCCTGGACTTCCCCAGGCAGGGCTGGCAGAGGATCTACTGCCGGGCAAGTGCCGGCAGAGGCAGGCAAGGGGGAGAGAGCGGCGTGCCCTGACCTGCTTTAACTATGAGATCACTCCACGCTCCTGGCTTTTAAAGAGTGATACAAAGCTGTACACAGCCCTGGGCGGCTCTTGACAGGTACGAGTGAGTGTGGAAGGCTGGGGACCTGGGGACCAGAGCACACACTGATCCCCAGGGCTGCGCTTGCATGCACATTGCTCCCCAAAAATGTGCCGGGTTCCTTCGGAAAAATTCCCAAGTTGTTTTGCACGAGTCCAGGGGTCAAATCTGCGCCCCACTGAACCCCATGTGCTGCAGGCTTCCCTGGGGGCAGCTGAAGGAAACCCTTCTCGCAGGGTTTCTGCTTGAGCATCCCCCAGGCATGAGCGGTGTGTGCTCAAGCGCAGGGCAAAGCAGGGAGTTCGCACATGTCCATGCAAGGCTCTGGCTGGTGATTTACGCTCCTTGGCAATGGGGACGCAGCACAGGGATGAGCAGTAACTGGAGCTGCGCTGCACCTGCGCTGGGCCTCCTGCTTTCGCTCTGATTTAATGTCCCAATTGTGAGGTGATGTCATTTCAGAAGGAGCCAGAGAAAAGGAAGTGCTAGAGAAGATAAGGTGCTTTAACTCTACCCCTCCCGGCTTGGCCAGGTTTTGAAGCTGGGAGCTGTGTTAGCTGCCAGCCAGGAAAACACAAGAGGCTGGTTGGAGGACACCTTCCTCTTGGGGCAGTGGGAGCTGACACCAGGAGCTGCTGAGCTGGAGGGTGATGGACGACCTTGGATGTCAGGTGGTGTGAGCATGATTTTGTGCGCTGCTCTGGCTTCTCCATCACCTTCATCTCCCAAACGCGTGGGGTGGGTTGTCTGCAGCACCAGTCATACCCCGCCAGAGCCTGGTGCCACACCAGCAGCCAAGGAGGTGCTCCAGGAGGGTCAGCAGAAATGCTGGCAAGGTGCTGTAGAAGGTAAATTGAGAATGTGCCAAAGCTGCCCTGCTTCCGAAGGGGAGAGAGACTGAATGGAAAAGTCGTTACTAAAGGCTCATTAAAAGGTCTTGTTTAGCTGTGGAGATGGGCCAGGGATTCCCGTGGTGCTGAGTCCAGAGACTTGGACTTTCAGAAGGATGTCATGGGGGCATCCTGGTCCCTCTGACAGTCAGAGGCGGTCAAGCCCCGAAGTCTTCTCTGCCCTTTGGGTGATGTCAAGCTGCATCTGCTCATTCGCATGACTAGGGAAACCTCAAGGGAGACTGGTTGCGCTGATAGGACTCAAGGTCCTCTCTGTTGCACCAAGCTGCTGCCCAGATGTCTTCAGCTGGAGGGGAGTGAGGTTGGGCCACCACTAGCCAGACCCGGCTCTATCCCAGAGAACGGGATCGGTGAGCAAGAGCAAATCAGGATCACCAGTGGCCTTACGCAATCGCACAGGACATGCAACAGCACTGGAGGTTTTCCAGCTCCCTGAGCTGCCCACCATGCAGGCAGGGCAACGCTTGCTGCCCTACTCAAGTCAGTGCTCTCACTGCTTGAGCTGGGGACTGGCTTTCAGGCAGGCTTATTCACATTTAGACCATGCTTTTGACCGTGCCAGACACCATGGCGATAGCTCTGGCTGTGAGATGCCACCTACCGCAGCCCCAGCTGGGGGTTTTCTCTCAATATTGGGCTTCGAGATGCTCAAGCTGTGTATGACTGCCCAGCAGCTTGGTGCAGTAAATTGGGCGCTGCTTGCTGTCACATTCAATAAGGTCAGAGCATGAAAAACAGCAATGGCCTGCAGGTACCGATGTGGCGGTCCAGTCCGATGTGGCGGAAATCATGGGCTGGGCGGGGCTGGGCAGAGGGGACATCTCTCAGAAACCACAATGTGTAAGTGTAGCTGTTGCGGCCAGGTTTGGGCTGACCTCCCCAGCCCAGGGAGCTTTGCACCTCGGTGGGCTTGCTTGTCGTCATCCTGCCCTGGCAGGTTTTGCTATCAGAAAGTGACCCTGGTTGTCCTCAGAGTAGTAGGCAGCCAAGAAAAGGACTTTCTCTTCCTGTCATTTGTTTGAATGAAGTTGCGAAGAGCAGGCGGGGGTGCAGGATGCCTCACGTATGCGTTAATATCCAGCTGCGGCAGGAAAAATCAGAGCTGGGTCTCCATTCCTTTCTCCATGTGTGTGGCACAGTCATCACAACGTGTCTGCCCTGGTTAGCGATGGCTGGTGGCTTTTTCCTCCTCAAGGCTCTGTTCTCAGCGTTGCAGGTTTATCACCGCTTTGTCCCCAGCCCGGGCCTCAGGGTGCCAGGTGCTGATGGTTTCAGCCTCACTGCTACAAGCTCAATGTCCCCATTTTCTCCGCAGGAGGCTTTGCCACCTTCTCTTCCTGCTTCCCGGGGCTCTGCGAGGGGAAGCCAGCTGCCATCCTGCCAATGAGCATCTCCCAGCCATGCTTGCCCGTGGCCAACGTCGGCCCCACGCGCATCCTGCCGCATCTCTACCTGGGCTCCCAGAAAGACGTCCTAAACAAGGTACGGCCCTGTCAAGGGGACACGTCCACCCTGTCCCATCTGGGACCCCAGCCGTGCAGAGGGGTGAGGGCATTAAGGACTCTTCTCCTGCCCAGTGGGAGGACCACACATGGTCAGTCTGACCCTACCAGGACGCTCAAGGCAGGGAGTGCATAGGCAGAGCCTGGCAGAACTGGGGAGGGTGGTCGCAGGATGAGTCGTCTTATATTGATGAGCTTTGGGGTGGTCAAACTCTTCCCAAGTGCCCGTAGCAAACTCAGGGACAGGAGGAGCATGGCCGGGAAAACACCTGGGTTTGGAGGGGGAGTTACCACAGCTGGAGGGAGACATGGAACAGGAGCCAGCTTTGCACCCACCTGCCTAGCCAGCCAGGCTGCCAGATAACACCAATTTCAGCAATGCTGCGATCCCCTTGGGAGCCAGAGAGAGTGGGAACAAGCTGGGGTATTCAGCCACGACAGCACGAGGACAGGCAGCTCTGGCCAGGGGCAGGGGCTTGTTCAGGAGGCCCAAACATGAGCAAAGTTTTGCTTTGGGGAGAGAGGAGAAAAGAGGGACAGTGCCCTTTTAAAGGTGCTGGAAGGGCTGTGCTATGATGTCATGCCAGGGAAGGAATTTTGTTTAAAGGAAAAATAACTGCGAGAAGAAAGAAAGAGGAATTGCAGTTAAAATGCCGCTGGGTGCCTGCCTATCACGGGCAGGAGGGAGCCAGCCAGGCGTCCTCGCCCAGGGCAAGCGAGTGGGGAGAGGGACCACAACACCGGAGGTGGGTTGGAGACAGAAAGGAGGGGGAGAGAAATTATATAGAGGGAATAGAAGGAAATGAAAGAGAAAAATGCCAAGAATGTGAGCCCAGGAGCTGGGCTGGCTCCACTGAGCTGAGGCCAGGCTCTGCAGAGCCTGCTGGGGCTGGGGTGGGCAGGAACTGGCCACTGGAGAGCCAGGGCCGAAATCCTGGTGCGGTCTCCTGAGGAGCCAATGTCAGGCAGCGAAATTGATGGTTCCCTTCCCTCCCCGCCTCCTCAGAGGGTTTTGTTCATCTTTTGGAGCTGTGTTTTCTGCCATCCCCACGATGTAGCCAGAAGATGCTCTATTCATAAGCAGCAGAGCAGGGTCATGGGCGATGCTTCTCTTCTCTAGCACATTGCAAAGGAGAGATCCCACATGGCAGCTCCCTACACACTCTGATGTGTGGAAGGACTCTTTTATCTCCATGTTTTCTCCTCCCATTTAATTCTGGGTCTTCTCTGGAATAGTGCAGACCAGGCACTGAGACCCAGCAGCTGGCACAGATGTTCCCCCATTTTTTATAAGCAACCTGCCCCCAGTTGTACAGGTGATACCTAATCTGATGGGACGGGGAAAGAGACGGGGGTCAGATGAGCCATACATTTGGTGTCAGCACTGCATATAGGTGAAGCTGGCTGTGGCCCTGGGAGGGAAGGAATGGAGGTTGGTGTGGATGCAGCAGTACGCACCCAGCAAGCCAGTTCCCTGGTGGATGGCCCGTGGGTCAAACCTCACGCCCTCAATGCAGTTTTTCATCTGACCCTATTTACCTAAAGTTTCCCTTGTGCCATTGCATTTTATTGAGTCAGAAATATGGGCAGTGATGGTGGCCGTTGAATGGCCAAAGCAGAAAAGTCACAGAAAACAAGTCCAGGTTCACTCCGGTGTCAGAAAGAGGGAAGAGATGGTTCCCCTCACCACCTGTCTATGTCCCAACACAAGAGTGTATGTTCACAGTGAAGAACTGTGAACAACTAACAAGTCTGAGAACTCCCAATGTGTTTCTGAGGGATGTGGGAGCAAAGACATGGGTTGACATTGGTTAACACAGGGTGCTACCAATGACTTGCCCCACTCTATTGGTGAGATGCCTCCTCTCTCCCTCAGCTGATACTTTCAAAGCTTTCAGCCAGAGTTTTCACTGATTTTCTTTCTTGTATTTTCCTATTCCTCTCATACTGGGGTTCTTGGGTTTTCCCCTCTGGGACCCCCTTCCAGGTGTCTTTGGTCTTGCTGACTTTTACTTGGACCAAAGTAAAGATCTTCTGAGGTTTAAACCTGTGTCATCTAAATTGACAAAACCTTCTCAGCTGGTCTCTGCTGTCCTACCATCAACTAGGCCAAGGCAGCAGTGGGAGACCCACAGGAGAATATATTGGGATGGGAAACGGCAGGGAGTGCATGGCAAGGCAGATCTTCAGCACTCGGTGCTGGCTGAACTCAGCCAATCATTCGATCACTTCTTTCCCACCAGGACTTGATGACGCAGAACGGGATAAGCTATGTCCTCAATGCCAGCAACTCCTGTCCCAAGCCAGACTTCATCTGTGATAGTCACTTCATGCGCATTCCTGTCAATGACAACTACTGTGAGAAGCTGCTTCCCTGGCTGGACAAGTCCATTGAATTCATTGGTGAGCTTTTGTTAGAATAGTTGCAGACCCTCCAGTTCTCAGCCTTCAAAATCTGAACTCTTCTTCTGTCCTCCATGGTCTTACTCCCAGCAACCCTTGTTCTTTGACACAAAGGGGTTGAAGGTTGGGGAGGGAGGCTAGAGTAATTTTGCTCACCATCTCTGACCGCATCGATGCTTTTCTCTCTGTTTCCTCTACCGTACATCAGACAAGGCCAAGGTGTCCAGCTGCCAAGTGATTGTGCACTGCTTGGCCGGGATCTCCCGGTCGGCCACCATCGCCATCGCCTACATCATGAAGACCATGGGTATGTCGTCAGATGATGCTTACAGGTGAGTTTTCCCCGGAGGGCAGGGAGGAGTTACGCCGGTATGGTTCACTCCAGGGAAGGAAAGCAGGCTGAGCCCAGAAGGAGGGGGTGGGAGCTCCCTTGAAGCTCTGTCTTACCTTGGCTAAGTCCTGGTCAAACCAAACCAAACCAAACCTCCCTTCATAAAGTGCATGCAATGAGGAACGGTTGGGAGCGGTAAAATGGAGAGGGGAAGCAGTCCCAGCTCTACCCCTGGGGCATCCCGAGGCCCCATGGTTTCCCAAGACTCCTTTCTTTGGAGGGTCAGAAGGTCCTGGACGATGCCTCTTCTCCCCAGAGAGGCTGAGAAAGTAGGGGTGACCTGCTGAAGGACCAAGCACCAACTGGGACTGTCTGTGCCTCTCGACAGGTTCGTTAAGGACCGTCGCCCGTCCATCTCACCCAACTTCAACTTCCTGGGCCAGCTCCTGGAGTACGAGAGGAGCCTGAAGCTCCTCAAGGCCCTGAAGTCAAAGGGCGACCGGGGTGAGGTGGATGCCCAGCAGGACCCAGCAGAGACAGCTGACGGTGGCCGGCACCCCCCACCACCTACCTCAGAGAAGACCGAGGAGGTGCCGAGAGGCGCTGGCTTGGCATCCCCGCATGGTGACCCCGAGCGGCAAGGCGTGACCCCAAAGGTCCTGTCGCCCACCACCCTGCAGCAGGGGCTCAACGGCTTGCACCTCTCCTCTGAGCGCATCCAGGACACCAACCGCCTGAAACGCTCCTTCTCCCTGGACATCAAGTCTGCCTACTCCCCCGGCCTACGGCAGGACCCCCCTGGACCCCCTGGACCCGGGGACGCCCCCAAACTCTGCAAGCTAGACAGCCCCTCGGGCCCTGGCGGCCTTGGCCCCTTCTCCCCGGGGGCGGACAGCCCCGACCGGCCAAACGGGCCCGACCTCCTTCTGGAGGCCAAGGTGAGGCAGCGGCGGAAGCACCGGCACCCGGCAGGCTCACCGGCCCATGGGCTCAGCCTCAACGTTGGCGGAGCCTGTGCCACACGCAAGAGCCCCGGCGCCGAGGACGGGCTGCCGCCACGGCTCAGCCAGCCAGCCACCGCTCCTGGCACCACCACCACCACTGCCTGGAGTGGGGTGCACCTGGAATCCCCTGGCACCCCCTCCGGCGAGGCTGGCTGGTACTTTGGCATGGACTCCGGCAGCGCCAGCGGTAGCGGCGGGAGCCTCTTTGCCGGCACCGGCCCATATCCACCACCGTTTGGCTGCAGTGGGGTGGCGGGCGGCTGTGAGATCAGACTGAGGGACAAGGCGCGGGCCGAGCCGCGGGATGGGCGGCACAGCTGGCATGAGGAGGCCGGCGCCGAGAAGCAGTTCAAGCGGAGGAGCTGCCAGATGGAGTTTGAGGAGACCATGTCCGAGGGCAGGACCCGGGAAGAGCTGGGCAAAATCGGCAAACAGTCCAGCTTTTCGGGCAGTATGGAGATCATCGAGGTGTCCTGACACCCCCCCGGGACACCTGGAGAGCGGGAACAGGGACAGGGCGGGGGGATATTTAAGCTGGGGGGAGAGGGGAGGGGGACGGAAGGG